GCTGCTGTCTTTGAGTCATTTCTGCTCCTGAAAGTAGCTGCTGTGAATCTCATGGCTCACCAGGTTGGACTTTGGTGGTATCCATACTTTGGCTTATAATGGTATCCGGGCTGAGTAGACATGTGTTGGGTCTCCCCAAGAAAAGTTTTGTCACAGAACATTGGCACCCACCAGAATAGGGACCTTGCAGAACCAGAGATGTGTTGTAGGGGAGTGAATGTAGAATACTGGCTGTGTGCAGCGCGGCCGAGAAGCCTGAGTGGGAGCATCTGAGGAGGACATTCTGATAGGTTGGCCTTTCCTGTACGGTGTGTGTGTTAGTGAGACCTCTGCGACAGCAGTTGCATGGCTCTTGCTTTGGGTAGTGAGACAGGCAGCTAAGGCTGAGCCATCGGATCAGCAGTGACTGGGAGGACTCCCGGAGTCGGCATCTCGGTGGCATATGGGGTGGCATGCCTGCTTGATGAGCAGGGGCCACCACCTGAATATGGAGTCGCCCTGAAAATCGTTGAAGGTGAGAGGAACTCTTGCAGTCTTTGAGATTAGCACCTCAGAGTCACAACTATCCACAAGCAAGGCAGAGGTTGCCTGGCCTCTGCCGTGTGTAGTTAGAAATGCATCTGAGGCGGAGATGTTTGTGTAAGGGAACAAGCTCAACCAAAAAAGGGAGCTGAGGCAGCATTCTCTGTGTTAGCCTCTCACCTAAAAGTAAATGAGGTAAATGAGAGGATGGGAGAAGTGGTAAAAGTGACAGAAGAGAGCCCTCCAGTCCAGCCTTTAGTAGAGAAGGAAGGCAATTCTGTGCTCCTGGGTGCAAATGGGGGCCTTAACCATGGTCCTGCACAGGAAACCAGCTGATCAGGAAATACTCAGCGCTCGAGCAGCAAAAGAGCCTGATGTAGCCTAGTTTGTGAGGCTGTAGGACATGGGTGTGGATGGGACCAGTCTGACTTCTGTGGAGACAGAAAAACTAAGTAATGTAACTTCCCATCCCTCTTAGTCAACGGCTGTGTAACCTGAGTCCTTGATGGACTGGCTTATCTGAGGTGCCCACAAATAGCAAGAAGTTGGGGAACAGACACTTTGAGGAGAATCTGTATTTGAACCCCAGCTACCGGGCCAGACAGAACTGTTCACAGAGGAATTAAGGAAAAGGTTGGTTGTTTCAGCAAGGGCCTTGAGGGTGGTGTGGACCTTAGTGGCCTTGCTGAGTAACTTAGAGCAGTACGTAAAGAGCACTCCTATACTGAGAAAACAGCCTAGAGGAGATAAGATGGTATAGCCGAGGAAGAGGCCTGTCTGGGATCCTGGAAGACAAATGTGGCAGGATTTGTATCAAGTTGGAGTTCTAAAGGAAGAACTGATAGAAACCCAAACTGGTTGCCAAGGGGTGTCTCGTGTGAGGTTTGCTCCTGACTGCTGGGACACCTTTCCCTTTAGAGCCGCAACACTTCATCAGCCATTATGTAAGTGAACCCAGTAATGCTCATGGTTCACCAAGCTGCACTTGGGTAAGAGCTGCACCTGTTCTGTCGTGGTCCTCTCTGGGGTCAGTAGATACATATTGTGAGTCTCCCCAGGGAACATGTTGTCAGATAACGCCTGTGTCCCCTGGCAGGTGTGTGCATGTAGCTTATGAGCAGCCATATAAGACATGTAGGTTTAGGTTTGGTCTTTTTTTTTTTTTTTTTTTCATGTATAACTTGCTTGATAGGAAAGTACCTTCAGAGAACAGCAAAATCTGTAAACACAGAAAATGTTCAACTTTGGAATTCTTGAGTATGACAGCTCCTTTCGTGTTGAGGATGGTACATTATTTGTTATCTGACTAGAGTCTCACTAGAGGCTAGTCAACTTTCAGAAAAGAATTGAGAGGGGGGTCAGGGTTGGTTTTGTATATTGCATATAATTTCTGTGAAAGGTTGTTTTCAGGGCTTTTGTTTTGGTCTGTGCACTTCCAACCTCCACAAGGTCTCATGATGGAGACCCTGACTGGCCTTGAACGCAGAGTTCCTCCACCTCCTGAGTGCTGGTAATAAAGAGATTCATCACTACATCCAGACTGTTCAGGGATTTTTAAAATCCCTTTAAAAATTTTAAACTCTGGGGGCTGAAGAGTTGGCTCAGCAGTTGTAAGCACTGGCTGTTCTTCCAGAGGACCCAGGTTTGATTCCCAGCACCTACATGGTGGCTCAGAATCATTACAAATGCCAGTTCCAGGGCATCAGACTCTATTTTCTGAACTCCTGAGCACCGGTACACACAAACCCTACACATAAAAATAAATTTGAAAAAATTTTAAAGCATTTTTGGATCAAGTCCCTACAAAAACTAGTCACAGGCCAGATTTGTTCAGGATGACCTGACCTCTACTACAGAAGTTGAAAACTGAAGCCAAATCTGTCCAAGAGTATAAAAGGAACTATATTTCAGTATATACTATTGAAAAGGAAAAGAGAAGGGCAGTGGGCATCAAAAGCTTAGCACAGTGAATGCAAAGGTTCCACACTAAGGAGAGAAGCACAATTATTTTATTTTCAGAAAATAAACACAGGTTACAAAGACGAGGAGAAATTGATGTAGCGCTGGTCTTCATCAGCTACACTTGGATCCCCTCAAACTTGCCAGGGTAAATTATTTCTAATGCAGGATTTTACTCTGAAAGGATAAAAAACAAGAATAAATAGAATAGTTTCATGATAGAAGAAAAATAAATTGCTGGAATTATGTAAAGGAAAGTCACAGGACAGCGCTGCCAGACATTGTTGGTTTTCACTGAAAGTTGATGGTCTGTTGAAAGCTCAGTAGATACCAAGAAGCCCATGCAAATATGAGACAGTTATTGTAGGGGAAAGAAAGTTGGTATAAGAAAGAGAAATGGCTGGGCAAGGTGGTAATCCCAGCACTCTGGCGGGCAGAAGCAGGTGGATCCCTGTGAGTTCAAGGCCAGCCTTATCTACAAATCAAGTCCAGGACAGCTAGGGCTACACAGAGAAACCCTGTCTTGGAAAAACAAACAAACATACAAATAAAAGAAAGAAAACAAGAACCAAAACGACCTACCTCTAGACAGTAATCGTGTGATCGTAGTGAAAGCAGTAAATAATAATTTAACCAGAAAGTGGGCTTTAACTATTTGTGGAAGGAAAATGTTCATTGATACCATGGTCTAAAAGAATGAAAATCCATCATCTTCATATTACAAAGTCATCAGATAATCCCTAATACAAGAAGACATTTAATAATAATACAAACTTGTTTGTCTCGCAACTGAGAAAAAACATCAACAGAAACAGCTAATTAAGATTTTAATTTTCTTGACTCTGGGAATGAATAGCAAGTATAGAAGTGTCACTAATAGTGATGTTTCTTGGTTAAGAACTTTTTAGAGCAGGGTGTGGTGGCCCACGCCATTAATCCTAGTACTCAGAAGGCTTTGGCAGGATTGCCTTGTGGCTAGCCTACGTTTGTGGCTAGCCTAGGCTACATAATAAACCTCATACCAAACAAGCCTTCTATCAGAATTTGAACTTGAAATTCAGAATTGTGTAGAACTTTTTAAATTCTTAAAGAAGTGAGAAGAAAGGAACTAGAGTAGAAAAGGGCTGGAGTGCTGGAAAAGTACCTACAGAGATGACAACAGAATCGCCAAGAACAACATGCCAGGATTTTCTGTGTTTAACAAGACTTATGAGCGAAGATCTGCAATCTTAATTTAACAAGAAGACTGGATGATAAGAAGGCATTTGAGGCGCAGTTAGTTCTGAGGGCTATGAGTTCCATCTGGTAGACCCTGACTTTGCTGTGCGCCACCTGTGGGCTCACCCATATACTTCCCATTAAATCCTAGGAAAGTACCTTGCATAGAATTAGATGTTTTCAGTGCTGCTGTTTTCACTGTATCAGGAATGTTGCTGATCCAAAAGCTTTTTCTATAATAAATGAACAGGGAGACGCCTAATTAATTTTAAGAAATGAATACTCTATTCTTTTAACTCTAGAAAATGCAAGCTAGTAAGATGGTCCCACTGACAGTTGCGTTTAAGTATGTTTCCCCATTTCTCCCAGCAGCTTTCACATCACTGAAACAAGGATAATGTGTTTGGTGTAGTCTTCGGTATTTTTTGTGAAGTACCATGAACTGTCTTAACTGGGGTTTTTGTTTGTTTTTTGAGAGGGCCATAGGGAAAGAGATGACACAGAGAGAGGGTAGATGCATAGTTTGTGCCTCTGTTTTGATCATTGCTCATGTCAGAGCCTTTCCATTGCTGCTAATGCCCCAGTGTGAACCTATGGGAGTTTAAAAACACTCTGGCCTTTAAGCCAAAAGTATTACATTCTCTTCTCCTATTCCTAGTCCTATTCAGACCGCTTCTTCAGAGTCCTGGATACAATTTGATACACTGTGGATTGGGGCTTTGAGGACATAAACCTGTCACTTGTAGAACATCAAGGAAGGTTGATAAGTAATTCAAATGTGTATGTCTGCATGCGTGTATTCACATTGTATGTGTAGCCACGTGTACGCACGCACAAAGGTTAAAGAAGACTTACAGAACTGCTGGAGGATCGAACTCCTATCATCAAAGTAGGCAGCAGTCACCTTAATTCACTGAGCCATCTCACTAATAACACCTGGTTATTATAACTTTTGAAGTATGTATTTTCCCTTTAAATACTTGAGACAAATCAGTTACCTGAAACAAGGAGACAAAATTGAGGGTCATAATGAAATCCAGTTATTGCCTAGAAAAAGGAAAGCAGAGTTCAAGATAGCTTACCTCCTTTCAGTTGACTTGATTTCTCTCTGAAAGGAAATGGAAAGTGAGGGTTGGCCTGAGCGGTACTAAAGGACCTCACTGCTGCCCAGAGTATCACCATGTGGCCAGTTCTTGGCCAAGTTGTGTTTCCCGGCTAAAAGGGAAATGTTACTGCATTTTCCAGCTGCACATGCCTCTCAGGTTAATTTGTTTCTCTCTCTTTTTTTTTTTTTTTTTTAGCTCTTCTAATCCATGGATAAAGTGGGGAAAATGTGGAACAACTTCAAATATAGGTGCCAGAATCTCTTCAGCCATGAAGGAGGAAGCCGTAATGAGAATGTGGACATGAACTCCAACAGATGTCTGTCTGTCAAAGAGAAGAGCATCAATGTGGGAGAGTCAGCTCCCCAGCAGCAGAGCAGTCCCTTAAGAGAAAACGTTGCCTTACAGCTGGGACTGAGCCCTTCAAAGACCTTTTCAAGACGAAACCAAAACTGTGCCGCGGAGATCCCTCAGGTTGTTGAAATAAGCGTTGAGAAGGACAGTGACCCCTGTGCCACCCCAGGAGCAAGGCTGGCTCGGAGAGACTCCTACTCCCGACATGCCCCGTGGGGAGGGAAGAAGAAACATTCCTGTTCCACCAAGACCCAGAGTTCACTGGATACTGAGAAAAAGTTTGGTAGAACTCGAAGCGGCCTTCAGAGGCGAGAGCGGCGCTATGGAGTCAGCTCTGTGCACGACATGGACAGTGTTTCTGGCCGGGCAGTCGGCAGTCGCTCCCTGAGGCAGAGGCTCCAGGACACTGTGGGTTTGTGTTTCCCCATGAGAACTTACAGCAAGCAGTCAAAGCCTCTCTTTTCCAACAAAAGAAAAATACATCTTTCTGAATTAATGCTGGAGAAATGCCCTTTTCCTGCTGGCTCGGATTTGGCACAGAAGTGGCATTTGATTAAACAGCATACCGCCCCTGTTAGCCCACATTCGACCTTTTTTGATACATTTGATCCATCACTGGTGTCTACAGAAGATGAGGAAGACAGACTTCGAGAGAGGAGACGGCTTAGCATCGAAGAAGGGGTGGACCCCCCTCCCAATGCACAAATACACACATTTGAAGCGACTGCACAGGTCAATCCATTGTACAAACTGGGACCAAAGTTAGCCCCTGGGATGACGGAAGTGAGTGGAGATGGTTCTGCAGTTCCGCAAACGAATTGTGACTCAGAAGAGGATTCAACCACCCTGTGTCTGCAGTCTCGGAGGCAGAAGCAGCGCCAGATGTCCGGGGACAGCCACTCGCACGTTAGCAGACAGGGTGCTTGGAAAGTTCACACGCAGATCGATTACATACACTGCCTTGTTCCAGATTTGCTTCAGATCACAGGGAATCCCTGTTACTGGGGCGTGATGGACCGATACGAAGCAGAAGCCCTTCTGGAGGGGAAACCTGAGGGCACGTTTTTGCTCAGGGACTCTGCGCAGGAGGACTACCTCTTCTCAGTGAGCTTCCGCCGCTACAACAGATCCCTGCATGCCCGAATCGAGCAGTGGAACCACAACTTCAGCTTCGATGCCCACGACCCTTGCGTGTTTCACTCCTCCACTGTCACTGGGCTGCTCGAACACTATAAGGACCCTAGCTCTTGCATGTTTTTTGAACCGTTGCTTACGATATCACTGAACAGGACTTTTCCTTTCAGCCTGCAGTATATCTGCCGTGCAGTGATCTGCAGGTGCACTACGTATGACGGGATCGATGGGCTACCCCTCCCATCCATGTTACAGGATTTTTTAAAAGAGTATCATTATAAACAAAAGGTTAGGGTTCGCTGGTTAGAGCGAGAACCAGTCAAGGCAAAGTAACTCCTGTCCCCAAAGGGCATTAACTAGGTCTGCTCTCATTTGCATCAGATAGTGCGCCCACAGGAAGCACGGTCAGCTGCTAGGGTTCCCGCCCAGAATGTGAGTTTAGTTGCTAGCCTCTGTCCGAGGGGATCTGCTCTTTCTCGGACAAAGGTGCCTAAAAACAACAGGATGATTGGCAGGTGTCTGATAGGGCTATGAAAAGAGCCAGGCAGTGGGCAGTTTGGTTTTAAATGGCTGTGACAACTGAGCAAGGCAACTCTGGGGCATTTGCTATGAAAAATTCTATTTCTTACTAAAGAACAAATTATTAATGTTGGATGGTATTTCAACAGTGTGACTAACGTTTGAAATTATTTTTTCTAAGAATTTTTCTATAACCTTCCAAAAGTAGTGATGTTTGTAGTTACTATAAATCAAGCTTTGAAAGTCCAAAACAAATAAGTAAATAAAAGACTGTTTTCCTTTTAGAGGAAAAAATAATGCAATTTTTCCGGGCCACAGGGCATCGTGCAGTGGCGATGTGGTTTGTAATCAGTCTCCCTTCCTCCTCAAAGAAAAGGACTCTCAAGTAAACCAAGTTCTCTGAGATAGTTCCTAAAGCTTCCGATGTAAAGGTGAGCGGCAGAGGTGTTTAAAGCCTCGGTGTTTGTGATGCGCTGTGAGTTCACAGGCGTGCAGCCGGAGCTTCAGGTGGGGTTGTTTCCCGAGGTGATGTGTGCAGGGCACACATTGTCTCATCCAAGTTGGAGTCTGTTCCTGTGCCCTTGAGTTTGTGAACCTGGAGGAAAGTGAGACTAGAAGATGCCCAGACACATCAGATAATAGTAAACTCCACTGGTTGCTGATGTTGAGTTGTGTTAAACTATTAAGTAATCATTTGGATGGCAGTATTTAGCTCTTTGTTGTAAGCTCATAGCAGAATTACTTAAGTACAATTTATATTATACAGTTTTAGTGCAGTTAATTCTTAACAGAAAACCTGAGGTCTAAACTGCAGATTTAAAAGGTACTGTACAACCATGATGCCTGTAAATAAATTTACTTGGCACCTTTTTGTCACTTAGAATAGTATGTAATGCAGCTTGAGTGAACGCTTCGGGAAGTGTTGTCCAGTTCTCGTGTCGCTTCTGCGTGTTGGACTGCGTTCTCAGGTCTGTCCTAGACATCTGCACTGCAGGGGCTAAGCCCATCCTGGTGTCTGTTACTGTTCTCTGTAACTGCTGCCGAGGGCTCCTCGGTTTCCGGGCCAGCTGCTTCAGGAGGTGGTTTTATATCCCTGCGGCTACTGCCAGGGCTACCGAAAAGAAATGCTATATTTGTATGCAACACTAACCCTTTGACTGCTAGCGTATGTTTCTGCTTGCCGTGCCTTGTTCTGGCTGCTTTTTCGTGCTAATAAAGTATGTTTGGTGTTCTCCTTGTATATCTGCTGTTTTATACATTTGCCACAATTTCTCTTGTATGTGGAATGGTTTGGGGTTTTTTAATAAGCATTACCTGACAACTTACTGTAGTTTATGCAAACTCACCTACAGTGTAATACTGGCCTGTCGGAATAAGCTAAGTCTAAATTGAATGCTCTCTAGCTTTCTAACCCTAATCACGTTCTATGGGAGTGTCTGTAGTCCCAGCAAATCAGTGTACAGTGTATGACAAACCCGGGAAGTGAAAGCCCTGGTGATCTCTGCTTGGCAGTGAAATACCGAGACTGGCAGTGACACAGCAGGTGGGCATTAGAGCACCCAGCTGCATCAGACACAGGTTCCACGAGGTCTGTAAGCCAGGACACCGCAGCACCACTTAGTGCTATGGGGACCATTTTAATTGATGGTAAATGCCCAAAAGGTAGACCTTTAACCAAAGACTTGCTCATTTTAATGCAAATGGGGATTGAAGGAACTTAGATTTTTCTGTTAGTGTAGTAAAAGTCCCTGAGGAACATATACCAAAGTGTTTGAGAACTTCATCCAAACCTACTTTCAAAGCAGAATGTGCAATTAAGTTGTTGTGATGTAATTATATTGCATAATTGTTGGGTCTGTTTTCTTGAGCTTATAATGTACCTGGAAAATAAACGTCTTGAGGAAAAAGAAGTCCATACTGAGTAGTGGAGGAGGACTGTGTTTGTGAGCAAGAGATGCTGTGAAGAGAGCCTGAAACTCCAAGAGAGCACTTGATGTTTTTATATGCTTGTAGCAAATTGATGTTCTCACTATAGTTTTATAGAAAATATTAATGCTTTTATGTATTTCAGAACTTTTCCTGTGTTATATGCAAATTGTTTTAAGTGTGTAACTATTGAGTTTATGTAAGCATGTGTACACTGTGCTGAAAGGCACCTATGTTTCAGTTTGTGTACAATATAAATATGCAACTTTGGGGTTAATTTTTTGTTAAAATATGAGTAGCTTACATTTAAAAAAAGAAAAATCACCAGCATGAAAGTGCACGGAAGTCTTTCTTCACTGTGTATTTTTCTGAAATCTGTTGTCCTTTGATTAAGTTTGTGTGTCTGTGTTTTGGGGGGGGGGCACATTTTATTCCAAACCAAAAAAAAAAAAAAAAAAAAAAAAAAGCTTCAGAAGTTACAGTACATAATTACACTGAGAGGGTTCTTTGGTCTATGTCTGTTTTCATTCTTTTGTTCACTTTTCCCTTTCCTGCTACCCTTGCTATTTCCCTCTTTTTCTGTGTCCCTCACTTTGTCCATATATACAGTATACGTACTTATAGACACTGTAATGTGTATGTATACATATATGCATGTTTATACACTTGTAATATTCAAAAATTGATACTGCCATCTGGCTTAAGATCATTAATGGAATATTGTACCACTTAGGTTTTTTTTTTTTTTTTTTTTTTAATCTACTCCTAAAGTGTGGCCCTGGCACTTTTGTCTTATCTGTAATAGAATCACTTTACAGAGAGAATTTATCAGTATTTTAGTATCTGCCTTGAAGCAGCAAAAAGAAAAAAAATAGTTGCTTTAAATGCAACTATAATGTAATTAAATTTCAATTTATAGTCCTAGATAAAACTATTGAGCCCAAATCATCATTCTCTATAAGCTGGTCTGTTCTTACATCCTTAAACGGTTTTTATATGATTTAAAATGGCTGAAGCCATGAAATCGGATACTTGAATTTCAAGCTTCATTTTGACAAAATCCAAAACTGATGAACGTTCAGCATTTGGGTCCAGTTGCTGTTCACCTCACCGCAGTGCTGCTCTGCTCCCTGGCACTGCCACTGACCTGATGAACCTGTGCCGGCTGGCCCTAAAGTTTACCTTCATCAAATCGCTTTTTTGGTAGAGTTAAGCTAAGCCTGAGTGGGTCAGAGTCTTAGGACTCAGAGCTAGCTCCATCTCTGAGTGGTCACAGGGGGCCATCAGTCACACCAGCTCAGTCGTCTACCTTGCATGAAACAGTAAGAATGTGCAGGAAGTTTCCAAAGAGAAGCGGGAATGGAGAGGGGGACAGAGATCGCCAATGTAAGAGGCGTGGGCTTTCTCCCATTTCTTGTAACAGCTGCTGTAGAACGTAAAGTAAGTGATACCGTTGCAAGGAGCCCTGGGTGAGAATTTTGGGAGGCAGTTGAGTGAGTGCAGGCTGGGTGGAGGGCTTACCATTACAAGGTCTGTGTGAGTTGAGGCAGTTGTTTTCATGCCTGCAATCTTGACCGAATACCTCAGCCATTCATTCAGCAGTGCTCACTGAAGCCTTGGGTACCAGTTACTGTAGTGGGTAAACATTAAAGTAGAAGATAAAACTGCCTCCTGGAGTAAGACAGTGAAGAATACACAATCTCAAACCAAGAAAGGGTGGTGAAAGGAGAATGCTGATTTTCTAGGATGCCTGGGGAATGGCAACTCTGAGTGACGGGGAAACACTAGGATTAAAAATCGTTTAGGCTGGGCAGTGGTGGTACACAAGTTCTAATCCCAGCACTTGGATGGCAAAAGCAGGTACATCTCTTAAGTTTGAGGCCAGCCTGGTCTACAAAGTGAGTTCGGGACAGCTCTGTCAAGGACCAAAAGCAAAGCATTCGAGGTGAAGTGAAAAATAAAGCCTAGATCACCAAAGCAGGGTTGAGTTCATGTGCTGAGAAAGCACCCTTCAAGTGCTGAGGAGAATGAAAGATACTGAAATTGTCAAGCTCTTGGTCACTTAGGGCTCTGTAGTAAGGAATTTGGATCTTCTCTGGGTGTGGTGGGAAGCCATTGGAGGGCTTGAGTGCTTTTCAGTGCTTCAGTGGATGGAAGACTTCAGTGGCCAAGATGACGGGACTTGGGACCCGCTATCAGGTGAGACTGGGGGCCTGGGTGGGGTTGGTGGTCATGGCTAGAAGCCAGGGTCAGGCTGTGTGAAAAGGCATGTGAGTCAGGGTTCTGACAGGAACAAGGACAGTGACACCATTGGCCGAGATTGTAGAAAAACGGAAACAAGATGGACAGTGAGTCACATCTTGCCTTGGATGGGTACAGCTTTGAGATTCCTAGGATCCCAGTAGAGACTAAGCATTGGGGAGAGAGGATCTGGCTCCGCAGGGCAAGGCGCTGCGGGTTTTCCATGGGGTCATGTTTGTCTGAAGGAAGTAATTACAGACACATCGGAGTCTCTTGACAAGGGGTATCTATTTGTTGGTTGTTTTCCCCCTCCCCTGTAAAACAATATCCCTTCAGTCAGTAGAAACCTTGCTTTTCAAAACGTTTAGGATACTTCAGTCAAACTTAGCATTGAATTTGAACTCTCCACATCAGGTTTGATTATGAATCTATTTTAACATGAATTTTTACAGTATAAATACAAGCTTACATCATTCTAGACCAGCCAAACATGGCACCTTTTTAGTCCCAACATTCCAGAGGTGAAGACAAGTGATCTTTGTGAGTTTGAGGACAGCCTGGTCTACATAGAGTTCCAGACAGGCCAGAGCAATATAGTGAGACCTTGTCTTGAAGTACAAAAAAAAAAAAAAAAGTAAAAAATTTAAAAACCAACAACATGAAAGATTTTGAAGACCTGTACCCCCTTCAAATTTTATACTCTTTCAGAAGCAATCACTGTAACCATCTGTTATATTCACCTCCACTGATTTCTGATGTTTTTAGTGACTGGAGGACTGGATTGAATGAAGGATATGCTACATGATATATAGAAGATGAAACAATTTTAGATTCTGTGTCAGTTTCAAGAACACTTGTATTCAACTACACTCAAAATCAGGGTCTTAGCTGAGTCTTAGGATTGGGGTTATTGGTTTTTGTTGTTTTATTGTACATACATGGGTATTTTGAATGTATTATGTATGTGCATGTGTGTATCTGGTACTTTTGGAAACCAGAAGAGAGCATTGGGTTCCGAGACTGGAGTTAGCAGTTGGTTGTGAGCCACCATGTGGGTGCTGGGATTGAACTCTCTTCTGGAAGAGCAGTCAGTGTTCTTAACCACTAAGCTGACTCTCCAGATGCAAGATTTAGGATTTGCTTTTTTTTTTTTTTAATTGTTATTATGTCATTGTTAGGTCATGGCTAGCCATTATTGTGATGTCTGGCTATGGAGGGGTCTTTGGGAATAAGAAGTGAGAAGATGAGGAATTATCCCCTTACTGAGGGTACCCCAGGACCTGAGCAAAAGGATAAATATGATGAGAACTGAGGGAATACATGAGGTGAAAAATAGAAACTGAACATTTGTGACAAGGGAAAACAAAACTGCCCTGAGTGGAGTCGAGACGAAGCTGTTATTATAGGTTTAGTCACTTAGATGCACCAAGTGTTGCTTTTCTCACGTTTTTGTTTCTGTGCTTGGACTTTCAAAGCTGAGCACCTGTCTTCTTTCAGCAGAGGCATTTACGATGTTCAGGAAAGGACTGGGTCTTAGTGGGGTGGGGTGTCCTTCTCCCTTGTGACATTCGTGCAGGAACTTCCTGATGGCACAGGTGTGCTGTGTAGGTAGGCCTCCTGGAACAGAATTCCTGGGAGGTGATCTTGGTGGCTGGTGCATGTCTACCAGGCATTCTGTTTTTGTCATTTGACAATGTAAAATTGTCATACATTGAATGGTTCTGTGTCTTCCCACCTTTGTAAGATAGGTGCAGCTACTCACTTAAACCTGACTTTTAACGTTTTATTATCTTACAAATATTTTTGTGCCCTTAAGTGCAATTGAGACTGTTAAATTTTAATAACATGAAAAGAATAACAAAGCATTTGGCTTAGTAATTCCAACATTGAGAATTCATAAATTGTGCCATTAAAATACTGTCTGAGCTTTTAGCAATTTTTTTCTTGATAAAAGAGCTAAAAGTCTCAAATCATTTTCTAGTATTTGGCTATCCTAAACTTCTCAATCTTTTGAAAAATCAGATAATCTGAGAATATAATTTTTTGGTAATATGACCAAAATAAATCTGAGGGCCTATGTTTGGTCTATAACCAATTCTGTTAGAAACTGGGCAGTGTGTGGAGATAAACCAAGCAGGGAAGCTACTGGAAGTTCCCTGACTCAGCAAGCCCTGTACACCCAGCAGAGAGGCAGATTCTCATGTAACACAGAAGGTTCGTCTGAGTCGCTGTGTCTAATCCTCTCCTTGTCTTTCATTCCTGGCTTAGAGGGGCTGAATTCATTGCCAAGGTCACTGAGGGAATGCCAGAGCCAGGCTTCAAACATGAGTCTAGGCCAGACACCAATCTCTTCCTTGTTACTCTTTGGGGATTTTAATTTTTTTCTTCAAATTTAGTATTTCTTCCTTTTTCTCTTTTATTGTAGTCTAACATGACAATAGATTTTTAAAGTATGGATATAAGTAGATTGTAGGCAATCAATGAAATTCAAAAGGGGAAGCCATGATCGCCTTCATATTCATATTCTCCACGTTGTGATCTGGAATGACCCTGCCAACTTCTCCAACTTTTCTGGCACTTCTCTCCCCCTTACTGCTATCCTGTCACCCGAGTCACCTTCCAAGTGGGACAGCCCTCCGGTGTCCTTCCTACCTCAAGGATTTGCACCTGCGACCCCTCCTGAAACTCATTTCTCCACACTTTGTCATAGCAAGACAGAATCTTCTGACTGCTCCTAAGTCTTCAGAGACATGAGACACCCATAGAAGGAGACATCTTTCCATGATTTTGTATTTCTGGGCTGCCTTTGTTTTCTTAATTGTATTTATTATAAAAGATTGTCAACAGCTTATTTATTTGGGCTTTGACATAGCAATGTTCTCTCCTGAGAAGCGAGATCATTTCTGTCTTGCTTGCAGTTTTTAATTTTAATCCTCAGGGCCTGGGATGGGTGCCCATTACATAACGGGTATTTCATATTCTTTTTGTTTCTTTGTTTTGTTTTGTTTTTTGAGACAGGGTTTCTCTGTGTATCCTTGACTGTCCTGGACTCACTTTGTAGACCAGGCTGGGCTCAAACTCACAGAGATACACCTGTGTGTATCTCTGTATACACTTTCTGAGTGCTGGGATTACAAGCATGTGCCACCGTACCCAGCTGGTATTTCATATTCTAAAGAAATGAATTAAAATCCACTTGTATTGATTTTACCATCCTATCCTCAAAAACTTTTATGAATGTTATTATATATCCTTTCTAAAATCTAGTTTGTTC